TAGATGTTTCATTAGTATTATTTGGTGATGTTCCAATAGTATTATTTGGTAGACATTTCATCAGTAGTCATTTCATAGATGTTTTGTTAGTCATTATATATTTTGTAGATGTTTCATTATTTGTCATTTGGTAGATGTTTTATTAGTATTTATTTGGTAGATGTTTCGTTATTTGTCATTTGGTAGATGTTTCATTAGTATATATTTTGTAGATGTTTCATTATTTGTCATTTGGTGGATGTTTCATTAGTATTTATTTGGTGGATGTTTCGTTATTTGTCATTTGGTAGATGTTTCATTATTGTCATTTGGTAGATGTTTCGTTAGTATTTATTTGGTAGATGTTTCATTAGTATATATTTTGTAGATGTTTCATTAGTATATATTTTGTAGATGTTTCATTATTTGTCATTTGGTAGACGTTTCATTAGTATTTATTTGGTTGATGTTCCAATAGTATTTTTTTGGTAGATGTTTCATCAGTAGTCATTTCATAGATGTTTTGTTAGTCATTTGGTAGATGTTTCATTATTTGTCATTTGGTAGATGTTTCATTAGTATTTATTTGGTAGATGTTTATTTAGTAGTTTGATTAGTTATAATTTGTTCAGCTCAATCAGCATGGAATGTACACTTGACCATTATACAGTATAAATGTAACCAGTAAGACACAGATGAATACAATGACAAACTAAAATTTGCTCATCTTGCATATTGCTGTCCAATTATAACAAGTAATTTATAACATGCTGTTACAAAACATATCCACCACCCTCAATTAAATTTTATTTGACTTACCTCCTGCTGTTCCATGATGACATATCACTCCCACTAGATCATAAATGGAGCACTTAGATGGGCTGTCTGATGAGTTAAGAAAGAATGTAATTGCTGTTACCCAGTCAGTATAATTAAGTTAGATTTCCATCTTGAGATGCTACATTCTAAGTTTGGATTTTAATTAGTCTGATGTGAAACCACCAAATATACTTATGTGAAATCATACTTTTAATGAATATGGCAGAAAGTATGTACCTTGTGAAAGAAACGGTTTCATGTCTAGTGATTCTAGCGGGAATGATACATAGTTGGTGATCTTTGATGAGTACATCATTTCATGACGGAACCTCTTAAGATGTATGCATAATATCTCTGGTAATTCCATTACTTGTGACATCTTGACACCGTTACGTAGTCTGGTATAAGGGAAAAAATAACAATTTATAGCAAAACCATTGCAAAAATTCAATTCACCATTGCAAAAATTCAATTCACCATTGCAATAATTCAATTCACCATTGCAAAAATTCAATTCACCATTGCAAAAATTCAATTCACCATTGCAAAAATTCAATTCACCATTGCAAAAATTCAATTCACCATTGCAAAAATTCAATTCACCATTGCAAAAATTCAATTCACCATTGCAAAAATTCAATTCACCATTGCAAAAATTCAATTCACCATTGCAAAAATTCAATTCACCATTGCAAAAATTCAATTCACCATTGCAAAAATTCAATTCACCATTGCAAAAATTCAATTCACCATTGCAAAAATTCAATTCACCATTGCAATAATTCAATTCACCATTGCAATAATTCAATTCACCATT